TACTGTCTAAGCCCCTCTTCAGTAGCTCATGTTGCTTTTAGAAGTCTGGAAGAAAGTCCATCTTTACCGAATGAAGATGTCATTTCAACCAAAAAATATGAGAATGACATATAAATGATTTTTCATCCTGTTTTAGTTGTACACACTTGTTCTGTGAGTGACATCGCTATCAAATATGGAAGAGAGTCCTTTATTCTCAGTGGCTCAAGCCATTTTGCAGTAAAGCTACTGTATTTCAAAGGCAGTGGTGATAATTGAGAAGTTTTACACAGTGAGGTGGTTTGGATGAGGGGGAAGGCGGATTTTCGGAGTTTTGACTCATTGCCACAACAAAGTAAAAATTTAAAAAAATCTCCTCATGGGAAACCACATAAAACACTGGTGAAGGATTGTCACTGCTTCTCAGTTTCTGGGGAAAATAATCAAGCAGTTATAGTGCCTTACTGCTGATACAGCAGTAGAAACGGATGATCATAAAGTGGTTCTGCCCAATCCATGACTTTCTCTAATGAGTTTTTCTGAGTTTATTTCTGAAATGGTGTGTTAAGAGAGTTTGGGGTTTTCCTGGAAGCAGTACCTGAATGATGCTAAAAATGTGGCCCTTTTATGGCTTGAGGAGCATTACAGTAATGAAATTGCTCTAACCTGGGCTTAGAGAGTAGCATCGCTGCCGATCCAGAGGTGCTGGAATCGTTGCTTTTGCATTAAGAACCAAATTGCTCTGCAGAAGGAATGTGTGTTTCACACTGACGGTCATATTAGACTAATGCCAGAATTGCAGCATCATCCTCTCTGACACGCTGGGTGCTGGGATGGGGTGATCCTATAGCAAGTTCATGTGTGACACCGAGTTGGAGGGCATGGTCAATATGTTGGAGAGCAGGGCTATCGCTTGAAGGAACAATAATAAGCTGGAGGATTGGATTGACAGGAACCACCTGACATGAAGCAAATGGAAATTTGAAGTCCTACACCAGGGAGAGAATGACCTCTGTGCAACAGGACTAGCTGGAGAGCAGTTCTGCCAAAAAGAAGCTAGGGGTCGTGGTGGGCAAACATTTGAATGTGGGTCAATACTGTGCCCATATGGCCCTGACGTCTGATAGAGCTTCACCCTGGAGAAGAGAGAGGAGAGAACAGCTCCACGGGAGGGCAGGGGGCCTGGATTGCTGTCCTCAGAAGAGAAGAGGGGACTGGACTGTCTCTGAGCTGCAGGGAAAAGAAGAGGCACATTGGTTACAAGTTGCAGAAAGAGAAATTTGGGCAGGATAAAAGGAAAAAAAGTTCACTGTGGAGACGGTAAAGCACAGGAATGGGGCCCAGAGAGGCTGTGGAATCTCCATCCGTGGAGCTGCTTGGGAAGGGGCTGGACGTGTGCCCTAAGTAACCTGATCTAGCTCTGAAGCTCTGCTTGGAGCATGGAAGCTGGACTAGAGACCTCCAGAGATCCTTTCCAGCAGGAATTGCTCCGTGATGCTCTGGTTCCCCACTCCTAGTGGGAGTGTCCTCCCACTAATCACTAATTTTTCTGTTCTGAATCACATACCCTCCTTCCCAGCCTTGCCGATTTGCTTTCCAGCCATCCTCCTTCTGTCTCTGGTGCACTTTTATGGATGTGCAGTTTGATAATTTATTTTAACAAAGAGTAACTAACTAATAGTACCTGCATGTATTTCTGCTGGGGAAAAAAAAAAACATGGTTACAAGCACAGAAATTTCAAGTTCTGCGTAATGTATTATGTGAGTTGATGAAGTGCATGGGTGTGAAAAGTTTTCCCTCTAAATCGCAGCTGAAAACATTTCCTCTGGTGATCTCATTTCTGCCTTAAAGCTTTCTTCTGCAGCTAATTTCCCTCAGGCTTGGGATCTCGTTTGGAAGTTTTGAGACCTCTAGTTTTGGAACTGATACTTTAAACGTCAGAAATTTGCTGTTTTCAGATGCAGAAGAGACATTATTTGATCCAATGTGGCATTTATTATCCATATGGCTGCTTTGTTTTATTTTTTGCATGCACACAAGACCTTGCAGATTTTAATCATATACTTTTTGTATTTGAGATTGATTAATGAAATACAGGAACTTCAAAATTCCATTGCACTAATTATAATGAGAAAAATGTCCTTTTATGCTTTCCACCTCTGAATTTTAAATGTGGAATTTCTCCAGCTGCAATTTATTCCATTCTCTCAGTGAAGTTCAGCTGATTCTTCTGAGATTGTAATAAATTTTTAGTCATCTAGGACATTAGGGCTCATTTGGATTTTGGGTTTGACAGCAGAACTTGTTTCTGTTGCAAACACTCGCACTGTATCACCGTGGTTGAAATGACTTTGTGTTAGAGGGAAGAGACACAATTAAGCCATTAAGATTCCATCCAACCAGCTATTTTACAATACAATACAAAACTCTTCCTTAATGAAGACTGTAGGGAGTATGAGTGAATGCATCCTATGGCCTTACAAGTAAAAATACTCTTATCTGATTGCTGATCAAAATTAGAGAGAAGATACTTGTTTTAAGTATGCTTTTGTACCCTCCTTCAGTGCATTTATATCCCTCTTCCACCTTCTGGCTATACAACTAATAGCACTGCATTAAATTCTTAGTTCTGGCTTTGGAGAATAGTGTGGCTTTTGGAACTACTGCTCCTGCACCAGAGGCAACAAATCCGCCAGAACGTTGCTCCAAGTGGGACATCAGTGTTACTCCAGTCTGTGGTTATTGGGAGCTAATGACTTGGGGATTAGGATGGTCTTTTATTTTGCAAGGAAATATTTTTGTCTTTTTTTTGCCATTTTTTCTCTTCTCACATCATTCCGTTAAATTATTAAAAAAATATATTTTTTTCAATTTCTACTAAAGATACAGTTGAGTTTTCAGTTAGGTTGAGAGTTTGCCAGTGAATTTTTAAATTAAAGAAATTTATTTAGGTTCATAGGAGTTTGCCATTCATGTGTAATAACAAAGTTCAGGAATAAATTATTTTATGAGGGATTTGCTGAATAAAGCAGTAGAAATGTGAGTATGAAGAAGTACATAACTGCTAGATTGCTGAATATACTTGTAAGAAACAGGAAAAGAATTTTAATCTACAAGGGAGTGAGAGTTTTTATGTATAAATAATAATGATTAATTTTATATTCACCTTGGAGAAATTGTTTTCCCTCTATAGAAAGTTGTACTGCCTGCCGTTCTTGTTGAAGCAAGTAATACATGCAGAATCACTGATGTATATTTTCTCACTGTGTCCTTTTGTCCTCGTTTATATAGTCCACAGGAGAAACCCCCACAACCCCAAAGCATACAAAGGAAAATAGAGAGAACTTCTTTCCAGTAACACCAGCCACACTGCATCCTACGCCAGTGAATCCAGACACTGTGACTCCTGAAAATCTCCTGAGACTGAATGACCTGCATTCCAAACCCAAACCAGCCTCTTCCTCTTCATCCTCCTCCTCTTCAGCATCTTCTTCAGTGCCTCCATCCCAAGAGTCGCACAGGGACACTGAGCATCTCCGGAATCAGAATGCAGAGGCTGCTCCCAGCATGTGTGATGTGGCACGGGGTAAGTCGTGGAGACGCTTGGCCCGCTTGCCAGGGCCGCGCGGTGAGTCAGTGCCCGAGTTCCAGTTCTGTCCCATTTTGTGATCATTAGAACACATTCAAAATGCGGCACTAAGGCAGGTTGGGTCTGGCTCTGAGATGACCACGTATGTATAATTAATGCGTATTTTAATTAATAGGATAGATAATGAAATTCTAGTGAACAGTGTTTATGTAACTTAATGTAAAATCATGGGATAGCAATACAAAGTTAAAGTGATTTTAAATAGTGGTTCCAATTTCAAACTTAACTTGGGCACTCAGAAGAGATGGTTGTGCTTGTTTGTGGGACACGGCACATATTAAGATGCCATAGCTCCTGCTGGAGCCTGTGCTTTTTTGCAACCTTAGCAGGAACAATGTCTGACAAAGCTCCTGCTACTGCCTGTCCTCACCCCATCTGCTCAAAAACTCGAGGAGATTTCAAGGCTTATTCTATCCCTACTACATGGTTGTTGGAAATATATAGTTGACGCAGTCTCAGTTAGCTCTAGCCACCGTCTGAAATAAGGTCATGCTGCCCTCCTGTTAATTACTCTAAGAAATTTTGGTAATATTTTAAATTAGTCCTCTCCCATTCAGATAATTAAGATTCTAGTTTTACAGTACTGATATTTCATATAAATTACAATTTACCTTGTAAGTAAAATGATCAGTGTCTCAATCATAAGAAAGCATAATCCTTTTTCAAATATGACTTAGTGCTTTCTTTATAAAGAAAGGGATCCTAAAACTGCTTATAAAATGCACAGACAATTCATAGGAGCCCAGATAAGCTGAGTGGACCACATATGTACAGGTATTGTGAAAAATGACCGTTGAAGGTACAGTGGAAATAGTGTCCAGTTCCAGACTGGAAGACTTATTAATAATGAATGATATTAATAATGAACAGACAGTGATCTAGATCACATAGTTTGTTCAATATCAGTATTTTTTGTTAGTATTCTCATATTGTGACTTTCTAAAGTTTTACCAATATGCTTGTGGTACACAATTTCCTTAAGTCATCAGTCTAGGCATCTAAATGCACTGGATTTCCTGAATGCATCATCAACATCGAGCAAAATAGGGAGAAGTCAGTTTTCCCAATGGATTAACCTCTGAGTGCAGGATGAAATTGAAATTTAAGATGTGGAATTAGCAGTTGCATAACTGCCTCATTTTCCCAGCTCAAATCCTTGGAGGAATTGTCTTGAGAGGAAAGGAAAGGAGAGAGCAGAGTGATGATAAAGAAGGAAAGGCCGGGTCAACGTGTAAACCACCTTGGTAGTTGTCCTTATGGAGCTGAAGAACAGAGTCGCCCTGTGTCGTAAGATGTCTTAGCAGGCTTGTTCAATGCGAGTAATCTGGTCTTTGCAACACAAGGGAAAAGATGAATCCTGTAGTTTATAAAGTTACTCTGCACTTAGTAAGCAGAAAGATAGGACTGTCAATGCAGGTAAGAGCTTCTGCAGCTTCCCAGGCCACCTTACTGTGGTTGCATCACTTATATCAATCTTTTGACTTTAGGCAGGTTGTGAAGTTTCATATTTTCATTCTTCTTGCTTGCTTTCTGAATAACATCTCAGTTGAGGGAGGCAGGAGGGTTTCCTGCCAATTTTATTTCTCTGAAACTGTCTGAAGATCAAGAGGCTGTGTGCAGAGCTCTCATTCCAGTGCTCAGGGCATGTGTTGTATCTGACTTTCTGGCTCTTGGACCTACCTGACAGGTCTTTTCTGAGAGACACCGATATTCCTGTTTTTTTTTTTCTTTTTTATTTTTTTTTCCTTTCTAAAATTCTCCTGTCTTTGCACCTCCTTTTAGAAGAGCTCCTTTTAATTCTGTTTTACCCCTTTTTCATCTGCCTTCAATTAGCGCTGTGTTTCTGCTAAAACTCCTCCCATCGTATTTTCTGAGTAATGTTTTCATCTTTTCTCTCTTTTTAATTGTCATTTTCTAACCTCCTCCTGTAGCTACTTGCTCACATGAGAGCATTCCACGTCAGAGAGGACCAGCTGCTGCTATTTCCTGTGGCTTCACTCAGCAAAAGGAATGGTTTTCCAAGCAGTGCTGGTGCTGTCCCTCTCACTTCTTACATAAATGTTGTCGTGAGATTGGGGATATAGCGTACGACGACTGGAACGGAGTGCAGCATGATGAAGTCCATCAACAAAGTGATTATAGTGATAATTTCAGCATAAGAGCCTTCTACATTTAGGCATAAATCCTGGAACTGTTAGCAATCTTTAGCTTGGGCTAGAATTTGCTCTGGGGAAACTAAAATAGGACAATTAAAGTAAGCCCTCTACAGTGTGTCCCACTGTTCCAAGATTGTACTGTTCTAAAATACTGGAAAAGTCTTGAGAGATTTTCTTTTTCGCTGTCCTTATCCTCGGGATAATTCTTATAAGGACTAAATGGGAAAGCATTCATTCATTAATGAGGTTTTAACAGCAAGAGAGGGTTTTTATATTTGAAATTATTTTAAATACTATGTTTTGCTTAAAACTAGTATTTTGCCAGAGTGGAATATAAAAGCATAACACTTTTTTTCCCCTCTTTCCCCACTACTTACCAGTAAAAAACCCAGACTCTTACTGAGGGATGAAGTAGTGAAATAAGTGTCCTAACTTAGAAATTATTACCACTTATTCCTTACTTCTGTCTAAGGAAGACAGTAGTTTCCTTCCATAGTGTGCAGGGATGCTGCAACATGTAATCTGTGAAATGTCCGCCTGTAATTTCAAATGTTTGTTACCTAGATGCAACAGGACAAGTCAAGGTGTGAATGTATTTCAGTAGGTGACTTGTTAAACTTTTACACTCTCAGAAGTGCAAGAAATAAATGTTAGGGAGGAAGTTTGCGTGCAAAGGTAAGTGGTAGTATCATAATTGTGAGCAATGGAATTAACTTGTCCAAGTGCGTGGGCAGCAATAGTTTCCCTAAAAGACAGATGTTCAAAACAGAGGAGGTTTTGAAATAGGTGTTGAGGATTCGTTAGTGATGTATTAACACAGCATTTAGCTGGGCTTCAGATTCGTACCAGTATTTTTACGTTTTCCTGAGGTGTGAGGGGCAGCTTCTCCCCGAAGGCTGCAGCGTAGCTTATTGCACCCAGCGCTGCCCGGTCTGAGGCTGCAGCCGAGGCCCCGCAGGCTGAGCCACGGAGGAAGCGCTGCGAAGCGGTGGCCAACTCCACGTTTACTCCCTCCTCCTGCAGCATTGGCCTCCTGTGATGGCATCAGTGTTTTCACTTGTCTGATCCTTGCTTTTCTTGAAGCCTTTTACTTTTCGCAGTGGCTGCGTTCTGAAAACAGCTTCATGGCTGGATTTCAGCAAGGGGTTTCCTCCTTGTGAGTGACTTCTCAAATCCCTCTTGCCTTGTGCTCAGACAGTACCAGCCAGTCACATCTTTTCCTGCTCCCCTGGGAGTATGCCTGATTCAGTTTGCTAGAGCAAGACACGCACCGCCCCAGAATTTTCAGTACACTTAATGGCCATTTCTGACCTTCCCCATTCAGGTTGTTTGTGTTTTATGTGTTCGGTGCAATACTGCACAAAATGCTTTGACATTGAAGCATTCGTTGGTTTTGTGCATCCATGATAAATCAATGAGAGTAAGTAGGACAGTGACACAGCTCTGAAACTGCAGCCAGTGATGTGATAAGTGTGTTGGCCAGGCAGGGTTGTGGTCCATAAGCCTTGCAAGCCTGGCCCACCCTTAGGTTCCCCTGGAAATCCCAGGGCATCCCTGGTCTTCGGCATATCCTGCACACAGGGAACACCTCTTCTGGGGACCACAAGGATTTATAAAAGAGAGTGGTAGTGACTATATTGTTACAACATATTTTGGTTGTACTAGTCTTAGATTAATGACAGCAGAATAAAATACATGAAGGAAGGCTAGACAGAGATCTAACTGAAAGCCTTCAGGTATTACATTATTTACAAAGTTTTCAGAGAAATCTCTTAAAAGAAATCTCTTAAAAGAAAACAACAAAACCCATGCTGTTCCAACAGCTGCTTTTTGTTAATTTGTCCTGTGCTTAATTGGCGCTCAGGTCAAAGGAGAACGAAACCCTGTCTGAGAAGGAAGGGTCCTGCAGTTTTCACCAGGTAACTAGTGCATAACATTTGCAAGCAGTAGACCACAAACAATTATTAATATTAAACACAAATATCAGTTATCTGTATCTTTAAAATGCCATTTGAAAGTTTGTGTAGTTGAATACCAGACTTGATTTTTTGGTCTAAGCCCAGAGATTTATTTTTTCTTTTTAATGAGAATTTAACAAAAAAAGAAGAGAGAGAGAAAAAATTGGTATGGAAGTATGGCAGCTTTAGGACTTTTTGTTAGCTACATGTGTGTCAATGTGTAAGGACCCTTGTGCTGTCTGCGTCTGTTCTGGGAACCGTGATGGTGCAGGAAAGGTTGAGAGGTGCTGCTCAAATGACCCCGGGTGGCTGCTACAGGGAGCTAGCTGGGGAAATAGCAGGGGCCAGGCTCTGTTTCAAGGAAACCCTTCTAATGCAGCCACTTGTTTTTAATTTTAATAGCATTGATGTGTCGTTCAGCTGACCCCGCCGTCAGGAGGTGGTTTGGGGTATGTCTGGTACAACTGTGCGCACGCTCTACAGGGCTCTAGGGAGAAATGCCCTGTCATTGCAGTGCAAACTTCTGTTCACCAGACTTGTTTGAATTTCTCTTGTTGTAGCAGGCCCTGGAACTTGTGTTCTGCAGCCTTCGGCCTCCAAAATTCTTCCGATGCTGAATTTTTAGCATGGGGGCTTTGTGTGTCAGCATTGAACTAGTATCTTGAATGTGGCATTCCTAGTCAAATACTTGTTCATACTGCTGTAGCTTCTTGGCAAGAGAGTTAGAATGACTCCAGAGAAAGAAAACGTGTAAGGAAAGGGTGCCGTGTATCCCTGCAGCATTCCATAATGAACCAAACAGCCTTGCTGCCTCCTGCAGCGCAGTGTTCCTCATGCCAGGGGCCAGCTGAGGACTGATGCTCTCACTGCTTCGGTAGACTGGCATCCTTAACTGACCCCCATTCAGCCTGTGCTCCAGGACAGTCTTTCCACTGACCAGGCAGCAGAGTGGAGGAGGAAACTCTGAGCTCCTTCAAGCTCAAGCTTTCCATACTTAGACTTTCCAGCAGCTCTATGGGAGAAATGCTGTATTAATTCACAGCACGCTGGAGGCCAAGGCAAGTAGAATACAGAACATTTTAATCACTAGCTTTTCATTAGCTATGTGGTAAGATACTTATTCCATTTCGGTGGAGAGCAAAGGGTCAGACCCATTTCCATCACCATTAGAAAAAAAGGAAATAATGACACCTATCTCGTATGGTGAATTAGTACTGGTCAGTTTGGTGCTCAATTGCAGGTGCTCTGAGTAGCCATTAAAATACAAAGTAAACCAGTTGTTATAGGGACTGGTAAAATAAATGTTTCCTAGTGTCTGCAGGTGCGAAGAATTTGATCCTTGCTCTGTTTTGAAGTGTTTTGAAGGCAAAGTGGAACCGTTTTTTTAATCTGCTGTAATACATTTTCAGGCATTTTCTTTGCTGGGGAAGGTATTTTGCAGAGGGATGAAGGCAAGAGAGACAAGTGCTTTACTGAAGCACTTGAAGCTGTTGTCTGTTCACTTCTGCAAGCCTGCACCTCTGAAGTCACAGCAGCATCATGTTCTGGATGCCAGAGCTCCTTCCTTTTGCCTATAATGAAACCATATTTGGTGCAATGAACTCTAAGTTGTCTATATACTTTAATCTATTTGTGCTTTAATACTTCAAACTGCATCAGGAATTGGAAAACCCTTTTTTCCAGATGCCAGACACGTTCTCTAGGCTTGTCTTTCCGTTGTCATGTAATAGCTTTAGTGCAGGACAAAAGAATTTTTCAAAATTCCAGCTAAAATGTTTTATAACAGTGTGACGTTAATGCTTCCTCCTCCCTGGCAGTGCAAGGAAAACAAGTGACAAAGTGCACAGTGCGCAGGGAGCCAAGCAGCTCGTCACCACGTCTGTCCTGCTGCTTTTCAACTTTTTTTTTGACATTTGCAAGTACATATTTTTGAGGGCGTTATTTTTTTACTGCATCCACATTGGGCAGACGAAGTAAATCGCCCCGAACCAGGGCTGCGGTTGCATAATCTGCGTGTTTACAGGGTGCACCTAGCATGGCTATAGTGCATGCGGTGCCTAACGGGAGCGAGGGAGAGGGAATATTAACTGTGATGAAGTCACGAACCCCGGCGCCCGCTATAGGCATCTGCAAACACTGGTTGCCCTGGCAACAAGTGGAAAGAGGTTGGAGAGGGAAGCTGGAGTAGGTTGTTGCGTTGAATTGTTTTCAGCCTGTTTCTTCCTCGCTAAAGCCGGGGGATGTTGAAAGGTATGACGCGCCTCTCTGTGTGTCCTGTGTGCTGTGTGCGGAGCGAGTTGCTGGGAAGGGGAAGGCTGGGCGAAAATTTCATAGAATTCAGCTCGATGGCACCTGAACTTTTCAAATATGAGCAAATTTGTGCTTTTACTGCATGCTTAGTTCTTGTTGCGTTGTGCTCTGAGAGTGCTGGATGGCTCTGCAGAGCGCAGAGCCTGTCCCATCTGCAGCCTGGAGACATCTGCCTATAGCATCTTTCGTCTTCAGAAGCTGATTTAATTTTAAGCTGGATTCGTAGAGCTAATGTTTGAAAAGCTGCCAGAGCAGTGCAAGTACCGTGTATTAGCAATCGGTTTGTTAACTGAGATTAAATTGGAGCTTCTGAAGCCCGTCGGAAGGTGCTGTGCTTGTTTGCTTGTGCTCTGGCACTTGGGCAGAATATTGTGGCTCCTGAGTTAGTGGAGTCTTTACCTCCCTGGGGAAAGTTTTTATTAGAAAATCTGGGACATTGTGTTCGAGGCTATAACAGCATCTTCCACAGGACAAATATCAAAATACTCTTTTCAGAAATCTGCTTCAGAAAGTGAGAAATTCAGACCTGTGTTTCCTCTTGATTATCCTTCTGTCTTTTGTCCTTTCTGACTAAAAGGGAAAAATATGGGATACTAGTGCACAACATTAACCATTAGTACAAATTATGAGATATATACACCTGAAACAATTTGTATTATTTTCAAGAATTAAAAAAACAACAAAAAAAAAAAGTCACTGAATTTTTAACTTGCAAGTGACTATTACAAAAAGCCCAAATTGCACAGTCATAGAAGAACGAATTGGGTGACCCACTCGTTCAGTCACTGTGTGTTTAACACTTCTGACAGCCAGGCACGGACTAGCAGGCAGAGATACTTGATTGTCATGTACTGAAAGATCTAGCCTAATATAATATTAACAAGTGTTGTTCCCAAAAGTGTAGGAATAGAAATGCACACTTAGCATGCCAAATCTATGCCCCTTCATTCCGTTCGCTTTCACATGGAAACCAGCTGACACACAATTTTATTGAAATTCAGTCTAATTTTATTACACTATGAAACTAGATCTGCAGAGCTAATAACAACAAACAGAGCGGGGACAGAGGCTGGGCCGCGTGCGAGCGCCCGGCCTGCTGCTGCTGGGAGGGTGTTGATGGCTCAGCCTTGTTTCGGCCAGGAACCGACAGCTTCTGTCCGTGTGGGTCTGTATGGCTGAATTGACAAATAAGCCCAGCAAATCAGCTTAAGCAATGATATGTCTTATAATTAAGTAAAGGTAATAATCAGCTAAGAGGTAGAGCTTTGCCCTTGGACACTAATACAAATCTGAGCTCTTATTCTGAATGGTGAACTGGTAAGTCCCTAATACAATTTAGCAGTTACATACAATCTGTTCTCAGCTAACAGTGTAGTTAAGCCTGTAGGATTTACAGTTCATTTATAGTTGCTATCATATCTATGGAAATTAATTTGGGTCTTGTATTTTCAGTTAATAAGTGAATAATTTAGTGCTTACCAAGATGTTTAAGCCTGGGAGTCTGAAGTGTTAAAGCATGTTAGATGAGTGTTGACTTCCCAGCTGTCTGCCAGGATGATCTTCTGAAATCATCGTTTTCGTGTTGCTTTTTTCAGATGCTGGTGTGATGTTTTTTTCTGTCTTCTGATCCAAAGCACTGCCTGTGGCCATGCGGTTGTGGAGGTGCTCTGGGTTGAGCCTGCAGCTTGTTGTTGCTGCAGCACACGTGTGAACCCGGCGTCCTGCATGTGGCTCGTGCAAAGGGCAGGCAGCAACAAATTATGATTTTCCTAGTGCAGGTTCCTGTAGTTTTAAGTTTTTCCTCTGTGTTGTTTTCAAGTTGACTTGATCTATTTCTACAACATGTATACAAATTCAGCCCTTAGTGTCATACTTCCAGTGCTGAGTTGTGAAGTCCATGGAGAAATGTGCAGGCAAGGGCTGAGATGGGAATTATGGTTGTCTCTGTTGGACCTTCCTTTTTTGTGCTTGATACTTGCATCCAGGCAGACCAGAGGCTTCTGTGATTTGTGTGTGACATTTCCTTTTCTGCAGCTAGCTGGAGAATCCTTTCCAAGCAAATGCATGTACTGCCTATCAGCCACCAGTTTAGATACTGGCAATTTTTCTTTGTCTATGAAAATCAGTGGCTGAAAGAACTTACAAGAACTTTCCTTGGCCAGGACATCATTATCATTGTAAGTTCTCAGTGGTGGAGATTCAGAAATGTTTTTCAGCTCTTCAGAAGGGGAAAAAAAGAGTATTTTTCCACTGAAAAAAATAGAAAAATAATTCCCTTTTAACAAGTTATGCTCTCAAAATCCTAAACTAATTTACAACAGGGACATATGAGGAATTGTAATTTAAATTGTGGATTTGCAATGCATTAGCTCATCTGTGATAGTTGCCTGTGCACACCTTACCCTGTATAAATACAAGGCATTTCAAATCAGCATAGACAGTCTTTTGATTTTGAAGAATATCTTCATTTAATCAGAAAATAGGAGCTTGTCCATGGCCTTGAAAGGCTATTTCTGTGTGCCCTTCCCAGAGGGGTTGTCATTGGTAGCTCACAGTAGTTCAGTGAAAATTACTTCTTCTATGTACAATATGCAACCCAGTGTGAAGAAAACTGGTTTAATATTACATTCATTTAAAAGCAAATACAGATGAGATACATTTAAGAGATTGGGTACAGATTGGGTTCTGAGTTAGGAATATTCCAGATCTTGGCACGGTAGAAGATTTTTGGATAAATAATACATTTGTAGAAGTGCAGGGGGCATAAGAGTGAAAAATGGTAATTCAGTATAACTTTTCATTAGTTATGTCAAGGCAGGTCTGCCCCTGTTGCTGGATGTTCACGGTAATTAATCTTACCTACCAGTAAGCTGCTTTTCAGAAGAGTATGTGCCTGTGGTTGCAGATCGGTGAGATGTCTGGATCACAGCTGGCTCCTTATTAACGGTGAGGGCTTTTGCTTCGCCTGGATGATGGGTGTTTCAATCCCCAGGTCTCCACAGGGTAATGGTCAGTTGGACGTATTTGTTTCTTGTAGTCGTACGAGGATAATAAAATGTCCTGCACCTGAATTCTTTGTTCTGCTTTTAAAATACCACTTTTTTTTTCTCCAAGAGTTCGAATTGATGACACCAAAATGGTGCTTTTAAATGAAAAAAAAATCTTCTGCTTGGTTAGACAACAAAAGGACTGAGGCTTAGGAAGGGGATCAGGATGCCTCTTAATCTGTGAATTTTGTTTTGTTAATAAAGAGGAAGAAGAGCTTGAAGTGCCTTTGGAGGGCCTTGGATTTCAGCAGCAAGAGTCACGACTTTGCCAGCAAATGAAAATGGCTACGGTTGCCCCCTGCCCAGAACCCGTGTGCTGGCAAGTGGAATCAGTGACCAGCACAAGCTCAGGATATGTTTCTACTCAAGGTAGGGCTGTTTTTATACTGTTTACAATTCTGGAAATTAGCGATTAAATGAGTATCAATATGTAGAGACTTTGATAGTTGTGATGCATATTCCTCAGCTTCTCTGCCTGCCTTTCAGTCAAGTATTTCAGAGTTCACAGGCATTCC